GCTGAATGCAGGCTTGATCCTCTCCGTGGTGGAGGAAAGCACAGGAGCAGGCTGGAGGATTATGGAGTTAATCTTCCCTCCATCCTGCCTGAGCCCTGCCCGGAGCCTCTTTTTCTCCCCTTCCAACGACAGCCGAATGCCTGCAGTCTGCAGCTGGCCAGGAGCTGAGTGCGGAGGCTGGGTGCTCTTTAGAGGATTTACTCGTGTGTTGGAAGGGTGCTGCGGGAAGCCCTGCGGGCAGTTCAACCCAGCCCGAGCGGGTGAAGCTGCCTCCCATGTTGTACCGTCTGCCTGCTGTCACAAGGGCTGGGCAGCACAGGAATATTCCTTGCTGCGGCTGCACGTTGTGCCCAGGATGTGAAAATTGGCCCTGGAAATTGTTTGATGGTGAATTAATGGAGTCCTGCATTCTCCTGTAATTAGTGGCACCAGGGGGTTTAATGGCTGATTTTCAGGTTAGAATGAGTGCCCTTTTCTGAGTCCCTCTCTTGCTGGTTTGTGAGCTGTGAGACTGTTTTCTCTGTGCCCACGCTGCCCACCTGTTCCTGGAAGGAGCCTGGGCAGCAGCAGCAGGGTGTGGAAGGGTTCTGTCCCTCTGTCATCAGCCACGGCCACCCGAGCTCCCTCCGGTACCTCCCTGGAAGCCCAGGCGCAGCCGGGCTGCTACTCTGACGCTTGTTTCTTTTTGCCCTCTCTGCAGTACCACAGCAGCCTGGCTTCTCTGAACGGCCTCGAGGTGCATCTGAGGGAGACTCTGCCCAAAGATGACTCGTCCTCGGCCAAGACAACCTACAGCTTCACGCACTACGACTGCGTTCAGAACGTGCTCACGGGTAAGGCTTCGTCCTCTGGGACAGCAGCCGCTTCAGAGGAGGGGACAAGGGGGAGCGGAGGGTTGATGGTAATCTTTTCCCATGCTTCAGACAACTTCTGAGCAACATTGCTTGCTAGAACTCTTACCAAATAGACTGGATTGAGGAGGCTTTGTCTTTGGTGAGTTTATAGTCTGCTGGAGGCTCGTTGATCGCTTTCTTTGGGTGAGAGTCAGAGGCCACTGGGAGATGGAGCGGCTGCCGCTGGCGCGTTGCTCGGAATGATGCTGCTGGGGGTCCTGCGAAGGGCTCAGCCCAAGGACAGGACTTGACATCCTCTGCAAACCCGCCCTCCTTACCCCAACTCCATCCACCCCTGGTGTGACGCCTTTTGTCTCGCTGTACCACAGGGTGTTTGTTGGTTGTTTCTGGCTACGAGAAGCAGGAACTGGGAGCAAGTGGGAGCCGGTAGTTCGGAGGCTGCTGCCCTGGGTTGCTGGCAGGCCATCGACACGCAGAAGGCCTCGTGCACATATTGCTCTGGTTCATTCTAATGTTTCCCTTCTTCTGGCAGCCTCGCAGGCAGTATCCTGGCTCTCTCCAGGTTAGCAGAGGTGCTTTAGGGAAAGCGAGAAGCCCCAGTGGTTCTAGGTAACCCAGGTCTTGGGTGTTCTCATCACCCCTCTGGTGTGTGTACACGCAGGGGGAGGCACACCAGGAGGTTTGTTTGCCCAGGGCTGAGCACGGTGCCAGTCACTGACTGATTTCAGTGGGGTCACACTGGGATTTAGGGTGTCACCCTGTCTCTGTTCTGCAGACATCCAGGGTCTGTGGGAGGGGTCACAGCCTTTTCCTGCTCGGTGAATGAGGGCATGCTCCTCTTAACACCCCCCTTCCTCCTCTTGTGCAGCCAACCTGCCCCACACGCCCGGCCCCCTGGATCGGCACTTCCTGAGAGCTGCCACGCTGATCCACGCCGACTTCAGCCAGCTCCCGGCGGCTTCAGAGGTGATCGTTAGGTAAGGTGTGCTTGTAGCTCCTGTTCAGGGTGCTGAGCGGCATACAGAGCAGGCAGCGGGGGGGAAGCCCTTTTCTGAGGCTGGCGGAGGTTTGGCACACGTTGTAATCGCACCGGTGACACTTGCCAAGGGTCAGTCATGTCACCTTATTCCCTGAAGTTTGCTCTTTAGGTGTGGGCTGCTTCATATTCTGCCTGCAGCCTGATCGGGGTGTTGAGAGGCTAGAATGGCACCAAGGCGAGCGGACTGAAGGCACAGTGAGTTGTGCCTTGGGTTTGGAGTAAGATACAGTCCCTGGCAGCATCAGGTTCTAAGACGCTGTTTTAAATATAGCTGTTCCTAATAAATTTGTGTCTCGGCTGGGAGCCAAAGGCACCCAGAATTGGCAACCTAGATTTTGTTTTCTTGCACGGCCTGTTGGGTTGGAAACACGCTGTAACGTGCGTGGCAAACTCGATTGTAATGCTCCAGGCGAGATGGTCTTATCGCAGCCAGAGCCCTTGCACCAGCCGCGGCTGAAGCCCAGCGCTGCAGCACTCCCCCGTTTGTAGCTGATCTCGGGGTGGTTTGTTGTGAGTGCGCAGAGATTCTGCTCATGCTTGTTTGTCCAAAACATGGTGAAATAAAGATGCTTCTGGGAATTACACTGTTTCACTTCTCTGACACAGCTTGCCAAGGGAACGTGAATCATACTCTTCAGTGCTGGAGAACTCCCCGTTTAGCATGAGCTTGACTGGCTCCTTAAATCCTGCGCCGGCTAAGCTGCCGTGTTCTGTGTTGCCCCAAAAAAAGCAACTCTATGTGTGAATCAGACTGAGTAACAAGATGACTAAAACTGCTTTCTTTTATGGAGAGTTGTCACAGGAGGGTGTCAGCAAACATATCAGTTGCTGCTTTCCTCTGTCAAGGAGGAATACGGATCCTTTGCTTTGCTCCCTGCCAGCCCTCTTGCAGGAAAATACTGAGTGGTGACTGCACGAATGGGTGCTAGTGCTGCTGAGTAGGTCCCTGAGGAGGAGGCGTATGACTCTTTCTCTTTTAGGATGCCAGCACCCTCGAGAAGGAGGGTCTGGTTCCCTGTGGCCTTCTGGCAATGGTTTTCAGGGTTTTGGTGGCCACTTGAGCTCAGTGTTCTTTTGCTCTGCTGAGAGAGACCTCCAAGTCCCTCTCAATAGCCAGGAGTCCAGTGCCACAAGCATCCCAGTGCCCAGCCCGGTGAGCTGAAGTGGATCTTGCACAATAAATCCTGACTGCTGCCTTCTCTCCTGCCCTGCTAGGAACGCCTCCACGGCCGTGTATGCCTGCCGGAACCCCGTCCAGGAAACCTACTTCCAGCAGCTGGGCGCTCCGCTCCGCAACTCGGGTGTTCCCAACCCTCATGACAGTGCGTTCAGCCTGCCGAGCAAGGCCAAGCAGAAGCTGCTGAAGCACGGCGTGAACCTGCTCTGAACCGATGCACCGAGGCAGTGTGTCTCCGTGACGCTGACAGTTAGTTCATCTCCACTCAGTGAAATCTCAAAGCCTTTTGTTCCGTGGGAGGCCCGAGGCTCGGTGCTATATCTGGGGGGGCTCCAGCCTCCTTGCCCTGAGGAAGGGGCACTGCTGCTGCCCTGGTCCTGAGCATGGTCTGTGCTGGTGCAGGGTGGTGTTAGCACTTACCAAAGACTGAAGACAGAAAATAACTGCTTTGCGGTGCTTCGTTTACATTGACTCTAGGACTGTTCATGGTGCTCTGCCGCCACGGGCAGACACTCCTGGAGTGCCTTGACCTGAAGAAAAACCTCCTCGTGCTCTAAGCTACGCAGAAACCAGGCTGCGGGGCTGGCTTCCAGAGATGTCAGTCAGACCTGCCTCTGCCTGGAGTTCTGTGCCTCCACCTGCCCTGGTCAGACTGGGGCTTTATTTCTATCTCTTAACCCTGCTGTGATGAATGCCTTACCTTGGTTATCAGAGCCTGCGTGTTCTCCGCCTAACTGGAATGGAACAAGTGCTGCAAAACTCATAATCCTCCTACAGATGCTGTCAGGAGGTTTTTATCCTGTAGCTGAATCTGGAAGGTCCTTGTCCCTCCACGTGTGCCTGATGGGGGACAGTGCTGCCTTCCCCGCTGCAGCCTGCTGGCTTCTGGTGGGGCTGTGGTGATGGAGGTCTGAATGCAGTACCCCTCCTGCCTGCTCCTTGTCCCCCTGCTTCCCTCTGTTCCTCCTTATTTCAGCTCCTTGCTCTTGCTGCTCCATGAGTCTGCGCTCTGGACAGAATGAGTGGGAGCCCCTCAAGCTGATGGGACCAAAGAGGTTTTGTGGCTCCTCGGCAGCTGTTCTCGTTCTGCTCAGGGGACGTGTCCCCTCTCGGCAGCTGGCTGGGGGGGGTCAGTGGTGACGGCTGCTCACACCCGAGCAATGGATGCCCATGTCTGACCGTGCTGCGTGTTTCAAAGCTGTTACATACACATCACTGTGACTCTGAAAATAAAAGAGAGTCTCCAAGACTCATCCGAGTGCTCTGTGAGCGGCCAGAGTCCCACTTACAGCTTGATTGTCATGTTTGTGATCCCTTGAGGGGGTTTGGGGTGGGTGACCCATCATCTGCCTGCCGAGGGAGAGTTCCTGCACTGCGGGGGTTGCACAAGTGCTGCCTGCTGCTTCCACCACCCCAAAGTTCCCCAAAATGGAACCACTCTGCACTGGAGCACCGGCAGCGGAGATGTGAAACCTCGTAGGAAAGCTGGAGCTGCAGCCATCCAGGAGCCCTCCTGCCTCAGTGACACGTGGAAGGGGGCACAGAGGAAGGCACTGCTTCCCTGAGGGATGGAGAAGCTGCTCTGGTTCGGGTGTGCAGCACGGAGGTGAGGGGTGAGGTGGTGGGAGAAGGCAGGAGGAAAGATGGTTTTATGCTCCAGCCCTCTGGGCTGCCCTGGCATGTTTGTTCAGCCAAGAGGCTCCTCTGTTAGATGCTGCTCTGTCTGTCTCTTCTCTGCACCCATGCAGGTTCCCTCTGCCATGCTCCGGAGGCAAGGAAGCGTTGGGCTGCCAGGAGGAGCAGCGGAGAGCCGGTGGGGCAGGGAGGCAGCTCCAGCCCGCTCTGCTCTGAGGAGATCCGTCCATCTGCTGGCTGGGTGTTGGGAAGCAGCTGTGTGCTCTCTCAGGAAACACCAAGAAGTTGAAGGAAAAGCCGGAGAGGCACAGGATGGAGTTTTGGCAGCAGCAAAGCACAAAATAGCTGCTTTTGCCTGCTGTCGGCAGGAATCTTTCATGGCAATCTGCTGTGCCGTCTGTCGGCAGCAGAACAGCTGTGGCGGCTTCCTCCCCTCCCGCTTCCTGAGCCGCGTCTGGCCACCACGACCCGGTCCTGTCCTTTGGTCGGTGAGAGGAGAGCTGCCTTGGGGCAGTACAGCCAGGACCTCCAGGCCCTTGACTTCGTCGTTGTGCTGGGGATAGGATATTTAAAAATCCGTCATCTCAAGTGTGGCAAGATGAGGAGCAGCTGCTGCATGGGCTGGGTCCTGTCTCAGAGCTGCTGACAAGGGCCCGGGGCCTCATGCTGGGAGATTCCTCGTGTTGCTGAGCTGGGTCGGTGCTGGGGGTGATGCTGGGTGCTGGCGTCTGGGTGGCTGGGCAGGAATCAAGCGTCAGCCCAGCACTCCCCGCCCGAGCGCTGCTCCCCGTGACGCTGCCTTTGATGTGTCTGTGCAGGCAGCTGGAAGCATTTTCTGAAATAGGTTCTTTGAAGCCTCCCCGGGAGGCTGGTGGCCCCGCTGCGGTGCTGGGAGAGCCAGGGGCAGGCAGCTCTGCGGCCGGTTCTGCACTAACGGGGGCTGGTCTCTGCTGCCCTGGGCTGGGCAGTGCCGTGGTACCTGGGGGATGTGCGGTACCCAGGGGATGGGCGGTAGCCAGGGGATGTGTGGTACCCAGGGGATGCGCAGGCTGCCCTGGGCTGGGCAGCGCTGGACCGAGGGAATATGTCAGCCATGAGGAGATGCAAAGCCCAGGCCGAGACCTGGGCCAGGGGGGCTGGATCTGGTCGGGACAGAAGTGCCACGGGGTGGGGATTTTAAAGCACTGCCCTCACTCACCAAAGCACAAACTCAGCCCAGCCCCATCCCATCCTCCCCTCTGGCTTCTCCAGCACGTTTCCCCCAGCAGCAGTGAGCTGAGCCGCTGGGGAGAGCGGGACCCAACCCTGGCACAGTCACACGAGCAGGCAGAGCCCATTCTGTTCTCAGCACAACTGTTTATTGATAATCGTTGCTTTTCCACGGTATGAATGTTACCAAACTGTAGGACAGGTACCGAGCCAGCCTGTGTCCCCAGGCTCAGCTCCCGGCAGTCAATGTGTGTAGAAATCATGCACGTCAGGTATTCTGAACAAGGCAGGTGTAAAAAATATCTCGGATGTATTTGAAATCTCTGCCTTATCCTGCAATCTGATCACTGAAAAATCTGTAAAGAAACCGCAGGTGAGCAGCGCTGGGTCCCCTCCTGGGTGGGACACGGAGGTGAGCGGTCCCCAAGCCTGGTGCAGCCGTTCCTGACCGGGGGCACAAGGACAGCGGTGAGCATCCATGACATGCTGCACTTCGTGGGGAGCATGTTATATGCCCTATGGCAGCTCTGGACCCCAGAACCCCCAGACCAACCCTGGATGCTGGCCGACGTCAGGAACAGTGTGTTGGCTGCTGGGTGGGCAGGATGGCCAGGGGTGGAGGGCTTGTTCCTTGGGCTGTAGAGTTAAAGAGCCCTGTGCTGTGCTCCCAGTGTCCCTGTGCTGCCTTCCCAGTGTCCCTGCCCCTGCAGGGGCTCCCCAGCTTGAGCTGTGAAAATTGAAGGCTGCAGAAAAAGGTGTGGGGGGGATTTTGGCAATTGCCAACGCCCTTGGTCAGATCGAAGCGCAGGGCTCCATGTGTGCTGTCCCCTCAGGGGGTACATCGGGGTGGTCCAGGGCTTGCTGGGGCTGGGGACACCCACAGTGGTGGGGACAGCCAGGACGTGCTCTCCACCCGCCTGCCTGGCACAAAGGGGTCTGCAGGCAGGAGGGATGGGGAGCCACGGGAGGAGGCCCTGGGGTGGTGGTGCAGGAGCTCTGTGCGGGCAGAGTGCTGCCCTGCCTGCTGCAGCCCCCAGCATCCATCCATCCATCCATCCGGGAGCTGCAATGGGGCCAGGCTGAGCACAGCACTGCTGGGCTGGTTTGCTGGTTTGGTGTGTGCATGTGTTGTTCTTTTGATGACCATGAGAATTTTACATCTTTACATTCAAACAAACACCCTTGGTTTTGTTACTCTACTTCTGAACACGGCAAAACACGGTAGCAACGTAACACGGACGAGAGGGGGGCTGCAGCGAACCACAGGGGGAAGGCGATGCGCGGTC